CCCCAAAACCCCAAAACCCCAAAACCCCAAAACCCCAAAACCCCAAAACCCCTTTAAAATAAAACATGAATAAAATTAATAAATATAAGAAAATTCCCACTAGGAATATGAACGAACTTGAAATCATGAAGATGCTCGTGAGGGAGAAAGACAGTTACTTCTATGAAGGACCCAGGTATTCAGAACAAAGTATGTAATTTTCTTCGGGGATTTTGGGATTTTGGAGTTTTGGAGTTTTGAATTTTGGGGAATTTGATGGTTTAGGAGAGAAAGAGGAAGTAATGAGCATGAAGGTAAATAAGAGTAGTCAGAGTAAGAAGAGTGGTGATGGTTTAGAGGGGGAAAAAGTACAGGATGGGAAGGAGTTTGATAAATAAGGAGGAGCTTAAGTTTGTATACAGGGTCTGGAGTGGGTATACGAAGTATATAAGGAGTCAGGTCATGCAAGGAAGAGGAATAAATTGAATCTTTTTAGGGAAGTTTGCTAAAAGATCGGCTCTTGAAGCTAGTAGGATCCAAGTAGGAGGTCCGAAGAGAGGAGACCAATCATTTACCACAAATCTGTTTGGAGAAAATAAAATTCAAAACATTGCTACAAGCTCAATGGGATACAAAAAGTATTGATACTTGCCGTCTCTAGAGTTTCTAGATGTTGCTTCTTTAACATTTAAGGAAGATATCGAGAACCAATCTCCTCTGCTCGATACTAAATAAATTAAAAATGCTACAAATAAGCTATTCGGCTATTGCTGCTGCCTGAAACACAAGAAAAGGAGCCGTGATGAATTGTCTAAAAGAATTCTTTGCGATTTTGATCAACCTGATTATGCAAGGAAAAGAGATTTCTCTTGATCTAAAAATTGGGACTTTGCATATAATTAAAGATAAAGTATTAATGTTTAGAAACTATAACCCTGACATAAAAATTTATAATAGAAGAGAGAGAAGTCACGATATCGCTTCGAAGAAAAGCAGTATTGAAACATCAGTTGCGACTCCTCTTACTAATGTTGAATCAACTCTTTCTTACAGAGGTGCTAGCCAAGATTTCCCGAAAATGCATTCACTAAATTATGGAGGTTTCAAAAGAAGTGGCCCTGCTCATGAGCACAATGCTGAAGGGAATATGAATGAAGAAGAGAGAATCTACTTCAGAGATAAGAAGAACCCATATAATTATCTGCACAACTTCATCAGAGATGAAAGATTTAGTATGCAGAGCAAATTAAACCAGCTAAAAAGAAATGAAAAGCAGAAATATTTCCATAATAGAGTAGATCACAGAAAAGTGCTTTCATCTACTTTTAGAAGTTCCAAAAGTTTTCTAGACTATAAGCCTAGTTCTAAACAGAAGGCTGCGAGAGGTGAATTATCAACAGATCATAAACTGAGCATGAATAAAACTATGATGTTTACACCAATGAAGGGCAATAAATTCGAGAAGGATGAGCCTAGTTCAGTGAACGATAAACTTCCATCCAGATTTGTCATAGATTACCCCAAATTCTTAAAACCAGCGAAGTACTATCCTTACAGAAGGCTTGAAGAGCATCATATTTCAGATGTCCTTTCTGATGCAAGGAAACGTCATGAGCAAGAAATTCTAGGTAAGAAGAAAGAAGAGGAGAAGTACTCAGACATGTTTAAGAAATCAGTTGAGGATAACAAGAAGGTACAGTTTCTTTGACCTATTCTAGAGAATCCATGATCTTGACAACAATCGTAAGAAATTGTATGAAGATCATAAAAAATCCTTGCAGGAGCAAATTCTCCAGAAAAGGTTAATAAGTGCAATGGAAGAACAGGAAAGAAAAAGGTACCTTTCTACTTAACTCTAGATATTTTAAAACTAACTATGGTCCTGAAGAAACAGAGATCAGAGCAAAGCACCAATTAGATAAGGTATCTCAAGAGAAAGACTTCATGAAGAGAGAGCTTCTGAGTCAGATCCAGAGCAAGAGACAGAAAACCATGAACAGGTAAGTAGCTTAGAGGTAAAATTCATAGAATCGTCAAAGAAAGAGCAGAAGATAAGATGGCACTAGAGATTATAGCTAATATTGAGTAGATTAAATCAATAATAGGGTTGCTTAAAGGGGTTTTGGGGTTTTGGGGTTTTGGGG